CCGACCGACATTGGTATGACATTAGCCTTTCTTTGTGCTCTCCACACGGAAGCCAAATAAAAACATTTTTATTAGTTTATACTTACAAGTCATCATCACCAGCTGTGGTAGCATTTGGAGCCAGGTTACCAGGATTAATGAAAGCAGTCTGCACAAAGTTGAAGATGAAAGCACCAAAACCAAAACCAGCTACAATGAAACCACTTACAAGACCTTTCTTATCTGGAAACCACTAAATACAGAAATATACAATACAATATTATGTCAGTGTTCACTGTAAATATTTTACGGCTAAGATTTTCCAATTTTTGTCTTATTTCATTTTGTACTAAACAGAATTTGACACCAGAATATGTAAAATACAGGTGAACTCTATGATTAAAACTTGTTTTCCTCTGTACTCCATGTATATATCACACTCATTTACACCCACAGTTTCAGTTATGGAACATCTAATTAGCATTTTCACATGAACACGTTTTTAAAAAAAGTATAATATGCCACAAACATTTTTAAAACCTTTTTCAAAATTGATTTTTATTTTTTTCTTAAATAACTGTTTCTCAATCATAATAATCAATTTTAAGGTAGAGATGCAGGTTCGTGGGCACTTTGGAGTTAATTTTTTTTTTTTTTGCTTTTTATTATCTAAAAAGTCTTGGCTATAGACCATTGAAATTTTGTAGAATTGTGAATAGTGGAACATACTCAAAAAACGATTTTAAAATATAGATAACAGGTGCAAACATTATCTCATTTGAATGCTTAGCAAGATTTAGCAAGGCTGTACATAAATAATAAAAAAAAAACATGGTGAAAAAAAGAAATGACGGGATCTCAATGTTATGCACTGTATTTAACTTTTTACAAAACGATAATACATTTAAATTTGGAACGGTTACAGCCATTTTAATTATGAGCATTAGCAAACTTCTTACTGAGTGAATTGTTATGCAAATTAGCAATTATCTCAGCTTTTTAGTGCACGTTCCTGAACTTTGAAAAAAAAAAGCTCCTAGACGCTTTGACCTTTTGTTTTGAAATTTTCACAAATGATTGACAATGTGTTTATCTTCAAAACACCTTTGGGGCATTGTTTTCAGTTGAATAATGTTACAGCAATCGTTCAGACAACTAGCCTGGGTGTTAATTTATGCATAAACTTGAAGTAGTGAAATTTGAGCTGCTGCCCTACACAATTGACAACTGGTAGACAGTTTTCAAGCCAGCGCTTTCTTCACAGTAAACAGATGTATCCATGAACCAATTTTGACAGGAAACAGAAGCATGGTTTAGAAGCTTTTTTTTTAAATCACTTTTGACCAAAAAAGCACATTTTTGTGCATATTTCAAACTACAGTGTCCATAAAAATAAAATACTAACAAAACTTTAAAATTCATACAATGAGCTTTCCGAAAATATGTAGTTTTGTGGACAAGGGAGGTCATCTTGGTTTCCTAATTAACTAATTAAAATACCTAAACTCTACCTTAAAACATCAACATTCAAAAAATGGATATTAAATTGGTTTTAGTCATTTAATAAATGTTTTTGAAAAATATAAATTCAATGTTAAATTCAATGTTAAATAATATTTAAAAATGTTTGTCCCATTGTTTATTGGAAACATTTTGAAATATGGAGGCATCTAGACAACATACAATCCTATTTCTACCAGTGTCACTTACCCTCATTGAAGCAGCCAATGGTGGGGCATACGCAATACCAACACCAATACCAAATATCAAACCATATGTCACTAGGACGGCATAGAAAGACTGCATGATAGTGAAATAGGTTAAAGCAACACCACCGCTGTAAGAAATAAAAAACAATTCTATTGAAACAGACTGAGATTTCTTTTTGTAGTACTATCATTCAGCTTTATATCTATAGGCTCAAAAGAAACTTTTTAAGAGTTCAGAGTTCAACTTTAGGATTCATACCAATGTTAAGTGAGATTTCAATCTAAACGTATTTCCGATGAATTAAATTTCGTTTTTATTGATGCTGAGTTGTCAGTTTGCTTACACCATATTCTACAAACAGTGATTTCAAATTTTACCTCAAGATCCAAGAATTATTTCACCAACTTGTCATAATTGTCAATGGGCGGAAACGTTAGTAAATCATACATCATACTTGGTATGGGTCCCATACAACAAGGGTAAAATACATGTTTGTTTATACAAAATTTGAAAATGTGCAATGACTGCCACTCTTAAAGCATTAAAACAAGTTTTCATTTATATTATTAATATATTGTTATAATTTATTACACAAAAAGAAAAAAAAGCTTACCTGACTAAAGAGCCTCCTAAAAGAATGGTCACTTTTGGTCCAAATCTGCGATCAATAAACCGCCAAGATACATGGCAAATCCATGACAGGCTTGGCCCGTTGCATAGATCCACATGGCTTGCTGTAAGTGGCAATAAACAATAATGTTTGTTAGCTTATAGTTGCTTTACTTTTAATACATAAATCCACATCAAATGTTACTTTCTGATACCTGTCACACATATAGCAAACTACTGATAAATGCATGCTAAGACTTTCTTACAGTACTGTTAAGTACAAATCAAGTGAACTGGGAAGGAGCATTTTAAAGATAGCAAGACATGCGTTTTCAAAAAGCTGGGATATCAGAAAATACAATCTTTTTCTTTTTTGCGTTAATATTTGCTTAGGAAATTAAGTTATGAAATTTCTCATGAACCTCAATAAAAAGTTTTTGATTTCTTTTAATCTGAACATACTTTGTCTCAGGATTTTTTTTTGGAGATAAAGTCTGTCAAACTTGACAGATAGGGTCTACAGTATTATCTTGTGGTCATAAATCAGTTCAGATGTGCCAATTTGATATGAATAGATGGGGTAATAATTAGTGGGACGAAAAGTGTTGCAAAGTGACATTTTCAAAAGTTGTGCTAGTCGAAAATTCATAAATTACATTTCCGTATGCAATTAAACGTTTTTTTCATATTTTGCCACAGATAAACAACTAATTCATTGTAGATTATATATGCATTATAAAAGTATTTGATCTAATAGGACTGTTCTGCGAAAAAGTAGAACAATCAGCTTAAACCACAAACTAAAGGGGGTATGAATCCCTGCATCTAAGGATGGTGAATAAACATCATCAAAGATTACATTGTACAAAAACTGGGAGAGAGTGAGTAGCAAATAGAACAAAATTTATCAAGTATGCAAATTAAACCTATTCTCCTTAGAATTCTATTCTCACTTTGCTTGGTTATGTAATTGAATGATGAAATGTTTACAAAATGTACCTACAAATGGGTTTTGGACTATTAACTGGAATAACATACCAAATGCATCGCTCACAGTAAATTTCGAAATTCATAAGGCAATAAAATTTATTGTACATGTAAATATGAAAAATACCAGATATTAAAAAAAAATGCCTTTGCTTTAATTGCAATGTTAACTGCTATAAAATGTTGGTTGGTGGTTTTCCAATGCTTCATGAACATTTATCTCTTGCATTTGCAGTTTACAGTATATTGTACTGATTTAGTAACCCTGCACAAATAATTGGTACCCCCCACCACCAGTTAAAGGCCTTCAAATATAGCCTTGAATTCATTATTCATGGATGGAATTTTAATTAAGAGTTGATCATAATGGTGAAAAGAGTGAAGGGAGGTCAGTGACCTATTCTAATAATAATCTACCCCAAAATTGCATATTTGCTCATTTGTTTTATGATAATTTGATAATAGTTTTCATAAAATAAATCTAAATCAATCAAAATCAAAATGAGGTGTGATTTTTAAAAAATTCAATTTAACGAGCCTGCTTGTTTCCATGACAATACAAAGGGTAATGTTTTACCATAGCTTTTTCAACAAATCTAAAAGATCTAATTTCTGTTTTGGTAATGTTTTTGATTGAAGGATAACTAAGACATGCCTGTTGCCTGCACGTAGTTATAGCTGCTGCTCGTTTAACCCCAAAGGTCAGTACGATTTGCATGTAGTCTACATGACATGGCAAACAATCACAGACTCAGTAAAGAAATTTATGTTTTTTACTTTAAAAATAAATTTATAATTTTCTGACTGAAATTGGTGGGTA